AGATCACTAAATTTGCCAGGCACAATTTTCCCTCAGTGCAGCCACGTTGACTCTCATGAGTCACCTTCTTGTTTTCCATGTGCCTTAGCTTGTTTTCCAAGAGGATCTGCTCCATGATCTTGCTGGGCACTGAGGTGAGCCTGACTGGCCTGTAGCTCCCTGGGTCTTCCTTTTTTCCCTTTATAGAAGGATATCAATCACACAGAGCATAAACTAGCACAATGCAATGATCAGCTCTCCCTGGCTCCCAGAGCTGGTCCATAGGGAAAAGGGGCTTTTTTATTTCACTGTTTTTCTTTTATCTGCCTCTGCAAGTTATTCCATTACGCAGGAGCTGGTCATGACTTCCCAATTAGGGTTGAATTTTGAAATAGGACTGGGAGCCTCATGATAAGCCTGTTCCTCTCCACGTATACTGTGGCCTTTCAGTGGGAAACATCACGTAGGATGAGCATTATGCAACTTGAATTTTTTTCCTCTGTAGTTTTTGATGGTTTCTTTTAATTAATTCTTGACACAAAGCATTTGAAATGGCTCTTGGGGCAGACTTGGTTGTTTTGATGCCAGGCCTTTTTCATGGCATGGGGGGAACCCACACAGTGCTGTGTTATTTCACAGACCGGGATGTCTTGCATTGCAGAGGTGTTTAAAGGGACACTGAAGGCTGATTTATTGTTGTAGGTTGTTGATGGTTGATGAACAGCTGTTGTTATTTATTCTTAAAAACCCAGTGACAGTGAATGCAGTAGTTTAGTCTGGTGTCCCAACCCCCTCTCTGTGCCAAGCCACAGCCCTGAAGTGCTGAGGAGGACAGGTCAGGAGGCTGGAGAGGCTGCTTGGAATCCAAGTGAGCAGCAGAGCTGAGGGGCTGCCAGGGAACTGACATCCCATCTCTGCTCTGTGGAAAGCCCCACAGGAGCTTCCCAGGAGTGGCAGCCACCCATCCTGAGCTGGGAAGGCTGGGGAGATGGTGTGAAACTGGGAGAAAACTAGAGTTATGAAGTTTCTTTTATAAAAAATAGGGGTATTTGCACTAGGAAGAGGGTGCATCTGTGCATTTGTGTCCAGTGCACATTGGAAAGATGGGGAGGAGATGGACCTTTTCCCATCAGTGGAATCTCAGCTGTTCTCCACAGGAAGGAGGTCTGGCATTTCAGGCAGGAGAGTGTTTTTGGGAGAGTCACATGTGTCTGAAACATAGTGAACACCCTCCTTACAGGTGACTGGGCTAAAATAGGAATGCTGCAGCGTTTTCTAAATCAACTAAATATGACATTTAATAAGTTTCTGGGCAAAGCCAGCGTCACCCCCGTTTGCTGTTCCACCCGGCTGCTGTCGCCTGCAGTGCCGGCGCTGCGGTCGGTGCGGGTCAGTGAAGCAGAGAGGATCCAGCTTGGGGTGGTGGCTCTGGGACACAGGACACAGTTAACTCTTTAAGTGCCACCTCCTCACGTCCCTCCATGTCCCAGCTTCTCCCCAGGATTTGAAGGCTGGAGGTATGAAACCAGTATCAGACCCCAGGTCTGTCTAACCAGGTTGATGCTCATGGATAAGTACAAAGAGCTTGAGGATGCATGTAAGTCCATATTTAATGTCTACCTGAGTTTGTCTGTGATTATCCCTGGTTTTAGGTGGGGAAAGCCTCCTCTAGTTTCAGTGACTGGCCCAAGGTCAGTGGCAGAGCTGCCAGTGTGCCTCAGCTTTTGTGAGTCATGGTCCAAACTTCAAACGATGCCCCGGAAGAATGACCCAGGCTGGAATTTCAGAGGGCTTTAGAGGCTAAGACAGAAAGCAGGAGCGTTTGAGCAGCACAGTGGGATTCATCCTTCCAACAGCTGAGGCTGGAGAGCGTGGGGTGGGAGGCACCTTCAGCTTCCTCTGGGCCCAATAAAACTGTTGCATTTGTTTTTAATCTAAGGCAGAAGTCGTCTAGACTAGAACTGTGGTTTTCTGTCCTTTTGGGAACATGAATCCTGGCAGGAAGGAGCAAAAATTTCATTAAGGAAAAAATCAGGACTCCTGAGATTCCCAGATGAGGAAGGAGGGAGTGTTCCTGCTGTTCACAAAAGGCAGACAGAATTTGAGAAATCACGGAAGTTCGCAAGCTTGCTGTTTGCCTTGGAGTTTCAAAGCCTTTAGGATTCATGATTCAAGCTTACACACACATAGTTGTTATGATTAGATCTTTCCTCCTTTATGTTTTAAATAAAAATTGAATTTTTTCTCATGCTCACCTGACTCGAGCAAGTAGAGCTTTAGAAGTGTGCTCTGTTGCCAGACTGGCAGCAGTGTCGTAAAACTTGGTGACAAGCTATTCCAGTTGGGTTTGGGAAAGCTGCAAAATCCCTTTTCATAGGAGCAGGAGGGTAGGGTGGGAAGTTATTTTAAACTTCAGCCAACAAGAATTAATACCCACATTAGTCCTGCTTGATTTTCAACATTTGTTTGGTTTGGACATACCCCTCATGGCATCCTGTGGCATTCTGTCCTTCCAGGTCCCATTTTCCCTTCTGAGGGTGCCCCCAGGTTTTCTCAGCAGAGCAATAGGTGTCACTGATACCAGTGGATTGTCCTCTGAGGTCACTTACATCAACATGGCCAGAACTCAGCAGCAGCACTTCGGCATTTATTTTTCAGCATAACCCACGCATAGAGTGTTGCTCTGCCTCGATGTACCCAAAACCTCTTCCAGAGCAGAGAGGGGTTGCTGGGAAGAGCCATGTTTCCTAAACAGCTTCTCTGAACAAGAGACATGCTTCTGACATTTGTTTCAGTGTGCCAGGAGAGGTTTTCCATGCTGGATCCCCCTGTATTTGAGTGGGGTTAGATCCCTGCCTTCCCTTGCAGTGGCTCAGCCAGGCCTTCCAGTGCTGATGGAAATCCTACAAAACCCCTTTCAGAGATCCATGTGTAGCCCCATAACTGAGAGACAGCAGGAGCTAGTCTGTCTTTGCAGCAGATGCCACGACGGAGAAGCCCATCCTGAGGGAAGGTCCTGGGGAAAGGCCCACAGAGCTGCTCCCAGGGGTGCTGCAGCTCCCAGGGGTTCCGTGTCTCCAAACTGGCACAACTGGGCCTGGCTGGGCTCACTGACCTGCCCTCTCCCTCAGCTTCAGCCCTGGTTTGGCCTCTGTGAAGGCTTTGGCACATCCCTCTGGTCTCCTGATGTGCCAAAGGAGGTTCCACGTGCCAGGGCAGAGTGGGGGACAGGCAGGGCTCCGCATGGGCAGAGCAGGCAGGATGCTGGATCCATCCCGGCTCTGCCACTGGCTCACTCGGGCACATGGGCCCTGGGATGTACCTGGCACTACTTGAGCACAGCCCAGGGGCAGCAGCTCAAGGTAGGGCTGGTGGCCCAGGGAAGAGGCATCTTGGTATTTAAATGGGCACTGCTGCCCTATGCCCTCCTGTCCAATCCCCGACAGCTCCAGACACTGGGCACACTTGGGAACAGGGCGACAAGTTTGGCTTTTTATTGCTTTGGGGTTGTTTTATCCCCCAAGTTTGCAGCAGCAGTAACATTCTGCTAGAGAAGAGATGGGTTTGGGGGTTTTATGGCCTTTAGAACTCACAGTAGCATGGCAAAATGTAGGAGCTGCAGGAAGTGGTTTAGCAGAACACGGTGTTGGTTGGGAAAGCAGGGAAGGAGCATGAGCAGATTTGGGGGTTTTTACTTCACTAATTTACAGGAACACTGCCCTTTACAATCTGTTTAAAGCCTAATATAAGCTGAATAATAGGAATGTATGAAAAACTATTACCACTGAAGGGAAGCCTGAAGATCAGGTTAATGGTGCCGTTAGTTCCCCATGTGCTGTGTGTGTGGACTATTCCACTGCTCACAGGTACATGAATTTTTAGGTCTGAAAGTCCCCAGTATTTGGGCTTTAAATGCTGAGGAGAGAAGTTGCTTGATTTCCATCATAGCTGAGGTGATCTGTGTAAGACAGGGATGTTTCTGTCAGCTTTAAGCTTTATTCAGTGTTTGTTTACAAACTACCCTGAGCCCAATTTGAGTCAATCAGAGTTATTTTAGGCAGGTTTTATTTGGGGGAAAAGGTGACAGAAGGAGGCCCTTGATCCGTATGTTGTGTGCAGAGCGCATGCTTGTTCAGACACAGATTAGAGAGAGTGTAATCTTTTAGTTTGCAATTTCCGTGTACTTTTTTTATTTGATGATGGAAAGAAACTTCAGTGTGCTGAAAACAGAGTGGTACTTTTTCATTCCTTTTTGTAATTATTCCAATGTAGAGTATTCAGTGCCCAGTGCTTGACACCCCATCCCGAGCTGCCCTCAGCCCCCAGGTTTTAGGAGACTTACTCAGTGCTGTCCCCGTGGGTTGGGGATCCCAATCTCGGGATGCTGAGATGGGGGATTTACCTGAGTCAGAAAGGCTGTTCATGTGAACTGATGAGGAAATCTGCTGTGAAATGAAATCAATGCTCACTCACAAACCCTGGCCTGGGCTGTTACAGAAACCCCAGGAACACAGCCCAGTGCCCATGTGCACGTTCATTCACGTCTCTGAACCAGGCACATCTTGACCTTAAATCAGTCACCTGGAAAGGGCTTATCCCTCCTTCCAGAGGATCTTCCTGTTCAGACAGACCCCAGCTGGAGGTGGGCAGGAACTGGCACAGCAGTGCTTTGCACTAGTACCTGCAGTTCTCCTTAGACTGGTCTGTTTTACACTTGCCCATGGTTCGGAGCACTTGGCAGCATCCAGGACTCAGTCACCCTTTCACGTGATTATTTTGTACTTGGGATCAAAACAGCCAACACTTGCAACCCCTCACTTATGGGCAGAGCTGGGCAGTGTGTGGGCAACCTTTGGGCAACTATAGAAATGGACTGTGTGGGCTGTGAGCCGTGTGGACACCCCGGTGACCGCTGTGGGTGTGAGGAGGGAGTGGATCTCCCAAAAACCAGGCAACCCTGACTCGTTGGCTCCTGATGCTGCTGTGAATAAGCCCTTTGCTCTCCCCTCTGCTCCTCACAGCTATGGGTAAACCAAGAGGATGGGGTGGAGGAGGGGACCAGCGATGTGCAGAACGGCCACTTGGATCCCAACGCCGACTGCCTGTGCCTGGGCAGGACCGTGCAGAACCGCGACCAGATGAGAGCCAACGTCATCAACGAGATCATGAGCACCGAGCGCCACTACATCAAACACCTCAAGGACATCTGCGAGGTACGGGGCTGGGGCCCTGGGGGCTGTCCACAGGGAGGGTTTGTCCATGGGCTGGGACCCTGCGGCTCAGCAGGACCCAGGGGGCTGTCCAGAGCTGAGAGTTTGTCCATGGGCTGAGGTTTGTCCATGAGCTGTGACCCTGGGAACTCAGCAGGACACAGTGGGCTGTCAGGAGAGGTTTGTCCATGGGTTATTTGTGAAAAAGCCACAGTGTGTTTGAGTGGTGTGTCTATAGAGGAGCAGCATCTGTCTATAAGTATTGATAGTTCTGAGAATTTTCTGCTGGATCTTATAATTCCTTCAGTTTGTATTAACTAAAAGTACAATTTCCTGCCCTTTATTCCATACCTCTTTGGCTGAAACATGATGAGGTTGAGAACCTTCAAGCAGTCCTCTTAATTAAAACCCAATGCCATCTACTTTTGAACTTGTGATTGAGGAAATGAGGTTGTAATTAAACCAATCAGTTACCCGTGTCATCTGTGCCTTTCATATCCGGTTCACAATTTCCCCTGGCTCAGGATGGCCCCCAGTTGCCTTTGCTTATGTTTGCACCATGAGAAATGAAGTACATTAGGTTTATCCAGTGGACGGAAACCAGCAAACAAATGGACCTTAGTGACTGACCCCACTCATCCCCAATTTGATTCTTCTTCATGATGTTACAATTAACCTCTACAACCCCTTACACACAGGATTAGTGCCCTGAGCTGAGCCTGGCGTGCAGAGCGTGTAGGAAGGGGAGTGCACAGTTGCATCGGAGAGGGCAGCAGGACAGCTTGGGCATTCTATGTGGAGCGTGTACTTATCTCTGAGAGGCAGAAGTTTGCTAGCGCTGAAATCAAAGCCCATGGATGCCTTTCAGCTCATCCCTTGGAATGTTTAGGATTTAGTGAGCCTGTGCCCAGTCAATGTGATGAAGCCTCTTGAGGATTCTGCTTAGAAGAATGTCTTCCTCCCTTCCTACTTGCTGCTTGTCTCTTGACAAGGCAGAGCAGCCATCCAAAAAGCATCTATGACGCTTTTCAAATATGGAAGAGTCTTGGGATTTCAATTTGGAAACAAATGAGCTTAATTTCACTGTGCTATTTCAGTCAGAGAGCTTTGCATTGGAGAAGGGAAGAACTGCAGGCACTTTTCCACATACTGTTTCTTTTTCTGCATTTGCACTTTTCTGTTGAAAAACTAAATAAACCTTAACTTGCACCTTCAGCCATGTCACTGTGCTTCTGCCAAGTGGGATTCTCAGGAGGTACAGCCAGATACAGCTGCAGTGACATCCGTGGGGTGACACGGATTTACTGCACCTAATGCTATGTCCCAGGTAGGAGAGAGATCTGGAAAGCTCTTTCTTTGCTCTGTGTGATACAAAATGATATTGAGGGGATAAATCTTACCTCCAGGTAGAGCACCAGGAAATGATTCAGCTGCTTCTGCTAAGGAAGGAGGAGGACTGAGATGGGCATTGTCATCTGTGAAATGATGGGCTGTGCCTTGCTGGAGAGAGCCTCATTGTGCTCAGTTTAATCAGAGCAATCCCTCTGCCTGGAGAAGGCTTGGAGACAGCTCTGTCATCCCGGGCATTTGGGCACAGCATGACTGGAGATGGAGAGAGTGGCTGGCTGGAGCTCCCAGTGCCCCTGATGGATAACAGAGGTGTGATTTGTGCCTCAGGACGAGCACAAACCCCCATGAGCTGCACGAGTGCTCTGACAGTGGCAAATTCCCTGCTTCCCTTGGCTCCTTGTTTTAGGGTGTCAGGTGGAACGGCAGCGATGTGAGGCACCGGAGGGGGTGGCAGAGGGGCTCTGGCTGGGTGGCAAAGCTTGAGCCTGATTTAGTGCTGAGTTTAGCAGTGTGTGGTCATACTCTTGTTGCTGAGCTGTAATGAATAACAAATCCTAATACCAGGGAGGCACTTCAGGATATGTGGTTGTTACTGAGGGCAGTGATTAAGAGCCCTCCCATTTCTCTCTTCTGCTTCAGAATGTATTTCCAATACCTGCTACTGTATTATTATACACCATGTTATTACTCATAACACCCCTGGCATGAGTCTGGCCAAGCCAGGAGCTCAGGAGCTGGCAAACACCAGGGTGGAAATCACCTGTGCAAGCCAAGGCCTGTGGGAAGCAGCTGCTTGAAGGGAATTGCCCATCCCAGCAAAGCCCCACTGCCCCCATGGGTGGTGCTGTGCCCTCACTTAGGGCATGAAGGACTGAACTGCTGTTGGGGGAAACACCCCTGTGGAGATTTGTACTGGGGGTAAAATTGTGAGTTTTGCTTGGATTGCATTATCAGGAGTGGATGGATCATTATTCTGAAATATCACCAAAGGGAAAAATTGGGATTGTTCAGCCTGGAGAAGAGAATCTTTGGAGTGACCTAATTGGGGCCTTCCAGGACCTGAAGGGAGCCTGCAAGAAAGATGGAGAGAGATGATTTACAAGGGCCTGGAGTGACAGGACAGGGGGAATGGCTTCAAACTGACAGGGGGCAGGGTTAGATGGAATATTGGGAAGAAATTCTTCCCTGTGAGGGTGGGGAGGCCCTGGCACAGGTTGCCCAGGGAAGCTATGACTGCCCCATCCCTGGAAGTGCCCAAGGCCAGGTTGGATGGGGCTTGGAGCAACCTGGGCTAGTGGAAGGTGTCCCTGCCCATGGCAGGGGTGGGACTGGATGATCTTTAAGGTCCTTTCCAACTCAAACCATTCTGTGATTCTATGATGATTCTATGAAAAGAAAGAATAAAGAATTGAGCCTTAAGGAAACATCCAGCAATAGGAATGTCAGGGTTAGCACTTAATGCTTAGAAAAGTAATAAAGTACTGAAAACTAGTTTTTTAGGATGGGTAGCAGTAGCCAGCCTTACTGTCAGGCAGTGCTGCTCAGCCCTGTACTGTGAAGCACCACATCCTCCTCCCAGGTAACAGGTGACAGGACGAGAGGAAATGGCCTCAAGTTGTGCCAAGGGAGGGTTAGGTTGGATATTAAGAAAAATTTCCTCATGGAAACGGCTGTAAAGCCTTGGAACAGGCTGGCCAGGGCAGTAGTGGAGTCACCATCCCTGGAAATGTTAAACAAATATCTGGATGTGGCACTTGAGGACGTGTTTTAGTGGTGAACAAGGTGGTGGTGCTGGACTTGATGATCCTAGAGGGCTTTTCCAACCTTAGTGGTTCTGTGATTCCGTGATTTTCTGGATGCATGGCCATCTCTGGGCTTGGAAAGAAACCTGCTGCCCCTGGGGTTTGATCCTGGGAGGGCACAGGGTCTGTCCAGGGCAGGACAGGAGCCTCAGGGGGAGCAGAGGGGCAGGGAGGGAGTTTGGTTTGGGGAGTGCAGGGGGAAGAACCAGAGGCAGAAGAAAGAGCAGGGTGCCAGGCTTTGAGAAATGAGCAGGATTTGGACCAGCAGAGGAGTTAGGAAGACACAGCTCAATTTAAGGAGGTGCTAGAGGCAGAAGTGACAGGGCTTGGATGGGAACAGCAAGGCAATTGAGAGATCAAAGAGATCCTCCGTGTTACAAGCCACTGGGAGGTGGGAGGTGGGAAAGGGCAGCCAACTTCCAGTGCTGCATTCTGCTCTTTTCCAAGTAATTTCACTTTGAATTTATTTTTTAATAACGTCGACTGAATTCCACCTAAGCCTTGCCTTGGTGCCAGGACAGCTCCGAGTGCCGCATGGAAAACATCCTGGTTGCAGCTCAGCATGTCAGGCCGGGGCCGCTGTGCAGAGCTGACGAGACAAGTCCCCACGTGGTCTGGGTCCTTTAGCCTGACTCATCCTCAGAGATGGATGAAAAGCACTTTCTTGTGCTGCCTCAGAGCGAAGCAGCATAAAACCTGCTTGGCAGCAGTGGTGCCCTCCTTCAGAGGCCCAGGGCTGAGGAGCTGCTTCCTTGGTTTGCCCAGTCTGTCCTCTGTGGATACCAGACTGGAGAGTGACTACAGAGAGCTCTTTGGGTCTGTACTGCATATCTCTGCAGCCTCTAGCTGTCTTTTACACCTGCTTGTGCACACCCTGTTTTTCTGCTTTGGAGCTGGCTCATTGTTGCCCTGTTGAGGAACAGGCTTGGGTTCCTCCAGGACTTTGTTCTATATTTTAGTGCAATCACAGTGCCCGACATTCAGTGGTGGCTGTAACAGGTATTTGAGTAAGTGCTGTAGAATCCTGCCACCAAACGTGGCTCTGGTTTGCCTCTTCAGTTCAAACAGTTTCAGCTTTGCTCTTAATGTTTATTCTGGCTATGTGCATATCAGTACCACACTCACCTGCGTGCTCTGAACCCTGCACAGTGTTTTATAGCCCAAATGGTACTGGGCCAAGCTGAGGGATGCTTACAGGGCAGTGTAGACAGCCCCAAAACAGCTCAGAGAAGAAAGAAACTGGAATATCATCAGAGCTGCCTTTGAAGTTACAGCCTGCAGTGGCTGTTACCTCCTCATTCTCTCCTTCACCCTGCTCTCAGGCAGGCAGTATGGATGGATGGATGGATGGATGGATGGATGGATGGTCCAGCTCTCCTGACTGTCTCTGAATCCACTCTGGGGTGAAGAAAACTTAGCACTTAACCTCCTGCAAATACTTTCCAACTTTGGCCTATACTTCAGGGACTACATGGAAAAGTACTTTAAAGAGAGACAGTTTGGCAGCTATTTTTAGGTATTCATTGAGCAAAACACTCTCCAACATCTGCTCATCAGTCAGCTATCCCTTCTCTGAGCAAACCTGACGGGATGAGCAGAAGGAAGATGACACTGTTTTATGTAACAGAAGTAAATTTAGTGGAAAAACTCTGCAGCAGCCTTCTAGCTGCCTCTTACTGCGTGTTATGTGTAAATCTTCAGTCTCCCTTTTCCTACTTGTGCTGGAAACCACCCATCCAAAGGCACTGGCTGGATAGAGAGAATAAGGCTCGGGAACTCCACACGTTCCTGTATTTTCCCTGTGCTTTTATAGATGCCTGTGCAGAAATGTGCTGCCTCAGCTCCTGCAAACACGTGACTCTGACGAAGTGATGAACCAGCGCGGGGAGGATGGGAATAGGGGAGGATGGGAATAGTCAGGGAAGGATGGGAATAGACAGGACGGGAGTCACAGCCGGTGGCAACCGCAGGGCTGAGAGATGTTCTCAGGAATCAGGCAGGGAGGGATGTCACCGAGCAGAGTGGGAGGGGAGGCTGCTGCCTGCAGGCAGCCCGGAGCGGGCACAAGTCCTGGCACAGGCGGCTCATGGGCATCGCCGGCACCGCTGGCACCAGAGCCCTGCCAGGGACAGCCTGGCCTCGTGGTGGGGCACAGCTTTTTCCTTGGGTGTTTGCAAAGCTCTTCTGAGATAAGCAGGTAAGCATGAGCAGCAGCACGGAGAGCTGCTCTGCATTGTTTCTCCCGAGTTTGAGTTCTGCTTTACCCCGCAACCGTCCGGCAGCTTAGGAACCAGCCTGCTCCCATTCCTCCTGGCCTGGAAAAATGAGAGAGGGAAGCCCAGGGAAATGAGTCATCAAGGAGCTCCTGCAGGAAGAGAGACCTGGATTAGGAAATGCAGAAGGTTTTCCATAACCCAAGCTGAAAAAGCCAGGAAGCTCAGGGTAGTGGCATCCTCCGAGCTAAGCTGGACATCACAGAGGTTGGGTCCTGGCCAGGTCGGCCAAAGTTGCATTTCTCATTCATGTGTTTGAAGTTCTCCCTCCCAGGAACCACATGGTGAGGCTGAGGGACAGTTTATTACAGTGTTCCAATGGTTCATTGTGGCCCAGCAGCTGCATGTCACCAGCTGGCAGTGTGGCTGTGTGACTAAGCATCCTGACTTCCCAAATATAGCCATTCCACTGGAGCTGCTGGCATTTTCCTCCCTTCCTTTTTTTTTCCCTTCCTATATAATAAAGGCAAGCAAAGTAAGCAAAGTCATCTCCTGATGACCCCCATGTTACTTCTTGTCAGTCAAGAGGCCACAGAATGGACCAGACAGCACGTGAGGCTTGGCCTTGCAAAGTTTCTGGTCTAAATCATTGTGGTGGGACTTGATGGTCTTAGAAGCTGTTTCCAACCTTAACAATTCTATGATTCCATGTTGGTCATCCACACGGGTGAAGCACAGGAGGATGAAGTGATTTGCTCCTTCCCACCCTCCTTGAACCTTCCCACCCTCCAGCACATCAACTCTCCTGCCCAGCTTGGTGTTCTGCAAACTTACTGAGGGTGCACTCAATCCCCTCATCCAGATCGTTGTAAAGATATTAAACAGAACTTGATAAAGATATTAAACAGCTTCCTTGTCCTGATTACTGTGGCTAAAAGGAGAAATCAGAGTTGGGTAGGTGCTCAAACAGCCCCTTGCAGCTTTCTCTGTAACACCATGTGCCACTGAAGAGGATGTGGAAGCAGCAATGTGTGTAGGAGCTGCCCTGGATATCAGGTGTTGGAAGGCAGTGGGTTTGGAAGGAACAGGCCTACAACACTGGAACACACCTCTTTGGAGCTGTCAGCCAGATTTGCTGTTCTCTGCAAATTGCTCTTTCTTGCTCCTTGCAGGGTTACTTAAAGCAGTGCCGGAAGAGGAGGGACATGTTCAGTGATGAACAGCTAAAAACCATCTTTGGGAACATCGAAGACATCTACAGATTTCAGATGGGCTTTGTCCGGGACTTGGAGAAACAGTACAACAACGAGGACCCCCATCTCAGTGAGATTGGACCATGCTTCTTGGAACACGTGAGTGCTTTTGGCATTTTTGTTTGGGACTTTTGGGGTTGGTTTGGGAATGGGGGGCTGTGTGTGGGGGTGGGAGGAGAAAAAGTCAGGAGGCAGGAACCACTCAGGGTAACTTTTGTGAGTCACAGTGTTCTAGTAACGTATGAGGGACCACTCCATGGTTCTACCTTGTGAGATACAGAGGAGGGAGAACTTGGAGCATACAGTTGGACAGCCCCCAGTACATCTGAATCCCAGCACCTTTTCACATCCACCCTTAATCATATTATGTAGGTATGATGTCTCACCTGCTCCCTACCTTCAGAATGTGTCTTAAACCCACTCATAGGCCTCCTAGTCAGGTCATGGGTGAGCAGAAGGTTGGAGGAGGTGAGAGCATCCAGAGAGGTAAAAAGAGGCCTTAATTGTGCATTATGCAAGAAAAGTAGAGGAGAGCAGATGCCTGGGCTGTTTTCTGGGGCACTCAGATGCACTTGGAAGGCATGAAACACCCACACATCTTCAGTGGCCCAGCCCATCATCCTCTTCCGTAGCCACGTACTGCAGAAGCTGATAAATTGGCCAGTGCTGGAAATATGTCAGGAAATGTCAAGAAAATGACAGCCCTGCTTTCCTTGAGGGAGAATGAAGGGTAGTATCAGAGCTCAGAGGTAGGTGCTCCTGGGCTGCAGGTCCTGTGCTGGGTCAGGGCTGAGCTGGCAGCAGTTCATTTCCTATTAGAGAAATTCCTGACAGACATTCCTGAAACTTCAGCAGGGCATCCCTAAAGAAGTTCAGAGTGTAGGCATCACTGGTCCTCTCATTGAAGGCAGGTTTCCTTCTGAGCCAGGTGCATGTGGCTGCTTTTTATCAGAGCCTGCACTCTCTGCTGCTCCTTCCAAAGCAGCATCACATTCCACCTCAGTGCAGAGAAGATGTACAAAATCTTGGTGAGAATCAGTAGCTAAAATGTCATGACTTGAGGCTGTGCTGTCAAATCATTGATAGTGACAATAGTAAGAATTGCTGCTGTTATTTGGAGGAAGATCTGAGACTTGCCTGTCACCAGACAGGGGCTGAAAACTGGCTGATAAACTCCTGATAAATTATCCCTGTTCAGCCATTTGGGGAAACTGAGGGATGAGGATGTTAAGATCCTGTCCATGGATCTGCAAAGCATTTTATTCCTCATCTGCTTCAGGAAGGAGAGCTGTGAGTGCATGGCTCAGTCAGTAGGGATGGGAAGGACCCCAGGCCTCCCTTGTTCCCAGAAAGGCAGGTTATTTGAACCCTCAGGGACTGAGAAATTAGAATTGCTGGGTGTGTTTTTACAAAATAAAGTCTCTCCTTTCTGTAGTTTGTAAGGCATTGGCCACAACCAGATGGAGCATCTCAGGCTGGCCTACAACACCTGGGCTTTAGCTGGTCTGTCTCAATTGCACTTTAATTTGGGATTCTGGGCAATCAGGTTGTGTCCATCTCTCTTCCAGTGAAATCTTTCTTTGACCTTCCATTGCCTTGTCTGTGGCCCAGATGAATCAAGCCTGAGTTAAGGGTGATGGCAGATCTGTGGTCAGTGATGGCAGAAAAAGGAAATTCCAACAAAATTGGCACCAAAAAACTTGTTAGACCAGTGCAAAAGGTGGAGGGGGGCACATGTGTGAGTGGGTTTTTTCTTTGTTTTTCCATTCTTTGGTGTTTTCTGGCTCTCTGGCCCTGAGGAAATCCCCCCAGTGGTTGGTGCCTCGGGGTCCCTGTTGGTAAAGAGAATTTCAAACATACCCAGCTCCTAACACACTTGCCAGATGTTTCGTGATCTTTCAGGACAAGAGCTCTAGAAAGGTTGTCATCTTGTCTTAGCAAAAGCTAGAGATCTTGGTTCTGCCTTTACCTTTTCTAATGAAAACCCCACGGCACAATTTGAAACTGAGAACAGCCACAGGGTTCACATTAACACACCTGCATCTACAGGATCTCAGCCATGTGTCAGTGTGCAGGGCCCTCTCTGCCTCCCTTTTCCCCCAGAGCAATCAGCACCTCCTCCAAGCAGGAAATGTACTCTGGGATCTGGCTTCCTCCTGTGTGGGGTGTGCTTTCTTAGAATCCCAGAATGGTTTGGGTTGGAAGGGACCTTAAAGCTCATCTCATTCCACCCCCTGCCATGGGCAGGGACATCTTCCACTAGCCCAGGTTGCTCCAAACCCTGTCCAACCTGGCCTTGGACACTTCCAGGGATGGGGCAGCCACAGCTTCTCTGGGCAACCTGTGCCAGGGCCTCCCCACCCTCACAGGGAAGGATTTCTCCCCAGTCTCCCATCTCATTCTGCCCTTCTCTAGCTGGGATGTGCTGTTGGCCAGCTGGGTCACCTGCCTGACGTGTCCCTGTTCCTCCACAGCAAGATGGATTCTGGATCTATTCAGAGTACTGTAACAACCACCTGGATGCGTGCATGGAGCTCTCCAAGCTGATGAAGGACAGCAGGTACCAGCACTTCTTCGAGGCGTGTCGCCTGCTGCAGCAGATGATCGACATCGCCATCGACGGCTTCCTGCTCACGCCCGTGCAGAAGATCTGCAAGTACCCCCTGCAGCTGGCAGAGCTGCTCAAGTACACGGCCCAGGAGCACAGGTAACACCAGCCCAGGGCACCGGGGGGCTGCCAGTGCTCCTTTCCACACACAGGGCTTGGGGTTTTCTGCCCAGCTCCTCTCTCGGTGACATCCTTTATAAATGGAAGCAGGGCAAAGGTTCAGCAGACAGTTAAAGCTTCTCAAAGCACCAATTCTCGATGGAGCAAGACTCATCTCTGTTATAATCAGACGTGAACTAATTACCCTTGGATGTACTTTTCTGATGCTACCAGTTACACTAGAAAAATTACCTAATTAGCATTCAGTGGTCCAAAAGGCTCATTCCCTTCTCCCAAGGAGGACCTTGGCACACAGCAAGTGGAGGGCCAGGATCTGCAACTCCAGCCTGAACATGCTCAGATTTGGGCAGAACTCAAAACCTGCTCTGCTTTTCAGCCTGATCCCATCTCATTTTGCCCTGGGGTTTGGGCTCAGAGGAGCACCTGCAGTTTGATTACTTCCCAAAATTTCCAGGATCTCTTTTGCTGCTGCTGAGGGCAATCAGCCTGGCTCCCTGACAGTGTAAATCAGGAATAGTAGCTGTGATATCATTTGTGACTTACTGCTGTAAAAATAAGGTGAAAGAAGAATCAGGCCCTCTAAGAGTAGATTTACTCCCACCTTGCCAATTTTCTTTCTTTTTCCAAAACCCATTTAAAGTAGGTGCTTCTGAGAACAAAAAAGACCACAGATGTTTCAGAAACACTTCTTTGTTTTTCCCCAAACACATCTCTAGAAGAGAAGAGATGTGATATGAGCAGAGTTTGAGTGATTCAGGCTCGCTGAATGCCCGGAGTCACCAATTTGGTCATGCCTTTGGCTCCAGATACAATTCCTGGTTTTCCCTTCATAACAAGACCAAAACAAACTTGGAGTGGAGTCGTGGGAACCTTAGGGTATCAGAAAGCAGCTCTGGGGTCCCAGAGGTTGTGGGTTTTTTCCTCAGCAGCCATGTGATGACCCACAGCACTGCTGGGAGCTCAGAAGTGGTTTCACAACGGGAGGACACGAGCAGCCTCAGAGAGGGGAGCTCTGTGTTTGAGTTATTTGGTGGCCATACCAAAGGGGATGTGGACAGTGTGATCACACAAGGGTTGGATTATTTTGGGAGTGCATTCCCGTTCCCTTTGGGATGTTTTAAATTCACCATGTTGTTAAGTCATCACATACAGTCACATTCTGAGGAGACTTGGGGCTCCCCTGTGGTTAAGCAGCAGTCAGTTGATTCAGACTGAGAGCTCTGTTTCAGTGGATTGTGTCCATGACAGGACACAGCCATGGACATTTCCTTTCTTGTTTCTCCATGTTCTGAAAAGGGAAAGCAGAGTGATGTTTGCTCCCCTTGATTAGAAGGAGTAACCCCCCCCCGAAGCTGTAACACAGCACGGGTATGAAACCCCAGGCTGCACAGAGCCCTGTGCTGGATCCCTGTCCTGGAGGAAGGCAAAACTCACAGAAGCCCAGGACAGAGGGACATGCAGTCTCTTTCTTTTTTTTCTTCCTTTTCCTTGACACTGTACCTGCAGAGCTGTGGATCTTCCCTGCACCAGGTCAGGACAGTAGCACCTAAATGAGAAACCTGACCACTCTCCTCTGAGTTTGCACGTGATATCTGGCAAGAATCTAGACTTGCATTCAGATTGAGCACTGGAAAATGGTCACTGCAGCCCCAATAGAATTGACAAACCACTTATTTACCTTCATTTCGTAGTTAATGGTATCCTATTATTACTTCACTGGCCAAATGCTTTGCTTCTGTTATTTTTTCTTTTAAGTTTTTGCCAGCCCTGCCACAGACATGGGCTGGGAGCCCAAAAAAGTTCAGTCCTGACTCTTTCTTCATTACAGTGTGAAAGAAAAATGTTCATGGGGTTTTCTCATCGGAATTAGGGAATTAGCATTCCCAAGATAAACCCAGCTTGGCTGGCACCGGCCCACTCTGTGTGGAGGAAGGACAGGGGTGCTCAGAACCTGGCTCCCTTCAGTTGCTTCTTGTTTTGAGACTGGTTCATTTGAATTTTTCACAAAGCCACATCTGTTCACCTCTTAAAGATTTACTCCAGCTTAATATGAATTAAATATATGAAGATCCTAAGTGCAGCTTGCTGGTGTCCTGAGCATTCCCACTGCAGAACTGAGCTGGAGATAAGAGTGTAGGAACATGTTCTGTGAGGAGACTCTGCTGAGGAGTCACTGTCATTACCCTCCCTTCCTTGCATGGGCATAATTGCTGGGAGGTTATGAGTGACTGTCTGTAAACCCTGCACCTCTGCCTGCCTCTACACATCCTTTCTGGCCATAGTGACTTTCCTGTTTCCCTGCAAGAGCTCATGGGCATTTTGCAGATCACCCTGGTACAGATTCATTCCTCCCATGCACAACCAATGCTCCCTTCACACAGATGGCCCACAAAGGGAGGCACAAGAAGTTCATTGTATATCGTGACCATTGCCATCCCTGGAAGTGTCCAAGGCCACATTGGACGGGGCTTGGAGCAATCTGGAAGGTGTCCCTGCCCAGGGCAGAGCATGGAATGAGATGGACGTTAAGGTCCCTTCCAACCCAAAGCATCCTGGCACTCTGCAATGGATATGTCAGGCAGCCCATCCTCTGTTCTCCTTTGCTGAAGGACCAGTCCTGCTGTTCTGGAATTTGTGAGATTTTTTTTTAACCTCAGCTAGAATTTTGACATTAGAACTGAAGAAAAATTAAAAACTCATCCCAAGTTTTCATCCAAGCAAAACAGCAAGTAATCCTCTATTGTCTATCACAGTGTGATTGCTTCTTAATATTTATCCTGTTGGGATCACATGGAGAAGGCATCTAATTCCCAGCATTCACCCCCATTTTAGCTGTCACCAGTGCAATCCTTAGCAATAATCAATACAGTCATTCCCCCTGCAGCTGCCCAAGATGGCAGTTTTTCTCATTAGTCAGCAATCAATAGCAGCCCTTAAGTTAATAATACATTATGGTGGCATTGTGGCAGCTGGTCTCGCCTGTCTTCCCAATTGAAATGAACATTACAGCTCCTTGGAATGGAAAAGGAGGCACAGGGCAGAAATCAATAGCATTGATTTCAGCATCACTTTTTGAAAAGACTGATCATCGTCCTCGCTGGCCCTGGCAGGAGCCTGTTCTCACTCTGTGTTGCTGCTTTCATAGGCCCATCTGAGAAAAAAGGAAGATTTTGCCTTGATTTGCTCACCTGAAATCTGCAGTAAGAGTGAATTCCATGGGATAAATGCTCTGGGGCACTCTTGGAGCCGCCTTATGGCTTGGGAGGTGCTTCGTTCATTGTCCAAATGAAAAATATTTTCTGATGTTCATTTTAAAAATGGAAAAATCCAGGCCCAAAGGCCGAGGCTGTATAAATGTTCAGACTGTCTTTTAGGGTGATGCCCTTTAGCTGAGGTGTTGGGTTGGTAGAGGCCAGGCTGTGCTCACTGCACCCATGGAACCAGCTGAGGAGCTGGGCTGGCTCCTAGTTCCAGTTCCAATGAAGCTGCTCTGTTGTGATGCTCCAGACATTGCCAGTGGAAAAAATACAAAATACGGTGTCGCAGCACTGAGTGGCAAACCCTTCCCGTGTGTCCTTGTGGGGAATGGTGGGATTGTGCTGCTGCTGGGGGTTGATAGACTCCTGTGCATGTTTCATGGCCTCCCCGTGTGTGTTCTCCGCAGTGACTACAGGTATGTGGCCGCTGCCCTCGCCGTCATGAGGAACGTGACTCTCCAGATCAACGAGCGGAAGCGGAGGTTGGAGAACATTGACAAGATAGCTCAGTGGCAGGCCTCTGTCCTGGACTGGGAGGTACAGTAACGTGGTGCTGGGAACCTTGGAATAGCAAATTCCAGGCAGTTGTTGCATTATCTAACAGCCTATAGTTCATATCACACAGCCCAGTCTTGGGATTCCTGGGACAAGGAAGACACATCCACAAACTTCCGAGTGGGACTTAAACATTAATGACCCTGAAAAAAATCTAGGGTCCAGTTCCAATTTCATCAGTAGAAACCTGGAGTAACTGTTGTGATTGCAGTGCTGGTAGTAGGTGAGGTTTGGATCAAACTCTGTGTGCATTCTGGCTCTGTGCTGTGTCACTGGGGAGGAAGTCGGGAAAGAGCCCTGGAAATTGTGACAGGTTAAGAAAATGGAGAAAATCCTTCTGGTGGTTGCCTTGTGATTGGAAGCCAAACTGTTAAGCTGGAGTTAGAGATGGTATTTGAATTTTATAAATGACTTTGCACTTAAAGATGTTTCTGAACCAGCCCCAGGTGTAGTGATGGTGTAATTAGGGAGCTGAGAGGCACAAGGAAGGCAGAGTCAGCAGAAGGATTCCTCACCAGCAGGCCTTCAGTCTCTACATTTGTGCCATGTGTTTTTAAAAAAAAAAAAAAAAACAACTAAAATTATGTTCTCCTTTTCCTTTTGTCCCTGGGGTTTTTTTTAAGTCATTGTATGCAAGTAATCTGTAAATAGGGTTTGGAAGCAGACAGAGGGCAAATGTTGCTGTAAATCCTCCCAACGTTGTCATCGGTCCATGTGTTCAGCAAGTTGATAGTCAGAGTGATGGAGCAGCCTTTCTTCTTCCTCACAGTTGGGAAGATCTGAAATAACTCCACATTCCAGTCACTGGGATCATGCTATGTAAATTAGTGTATGGGAAGAGGTGTTAATCCTTTAATTTATTTTTTTTTTCTGGAAAAGATCTGTGAAGGCTGGGGAGAGTGGGAGAGAGGGAGAGAAATATAGGTGCATCACCTTCTGACTGCGTGTCCTCCCTGACTGAATTAGTTTCATTGCTGTAATGAAGGTTGGGTTCAACCCTGGATCTCGTGATAAAGCACATAAATGCAGCAGTCAGAGCTGGGTATGGGAGAGCAGAGAGCGCAGACGATGTGTTTGATTGTTTTACTGTTGTTTACTGTGGAGGAGCATCTCTCACAGCTCTCACTGACACACATGCTCATTTTGAGAATGAGGAAAACTGCTCTCAAGGAGGCGCAGGACCATCATCTCCATCTTCAGCCTTCAGAGTGTGCCATGGGATGAGCTGATGGGGGTCATTTGTAAGAAATGTGGAGCCCCTCTCTGCAAATAAATCTCGATTAAGGGCAGATGAATTCCAAGTCAGTGAATATTCATATGTGAGTGGAAAGCCAAGGTGACCCCAAGTAGGATCTGTGGAATAGCAGTTTCTTTTTCTCTTCCATTAGCTCAGTTGATAATTCATTTTTATTTAGCCATATCCTTGATAATTCATTCCTGCTTAGCAGTACGCATTCTTTACCTCCATCCTATCCTCAGGAACTTGCCAACTCATTCTTCCAGGCTTTTTTCAACTAGTCCAAATTTGGAGCACATTATTGCAGCACCATCCTTTGACTTTTCATAATATAGCAAAGCCTGCAGTTGGTACTGCTGAGAGATCCCATGGGAATACAGTGCTGCCCCAGGTCAAAGGAAAACACCCTTCTTGCCTTTTTCAGTCTGTCTTTTGGATTAAGAGGAGGCATAGAGTTCTGATGACAACAGTAGAGGATGAGAGCTGGACCCAACAGAGGATTTCACAGCTTGATTCTTCCCTCTAAAGTAATTCTGAATCACCGGATCCAGCCCCCACTTCCCAGCTGTCCACGGAATGGCCAGAAGGATGCACAGAAACCCAAAATACCCAGAAGTGAACCATTGTGCAATGCAGGAAGAGAGTGGGAGAAATCAAAAGCGGTACCAGATGCTTGGATACACCCTAAATCTGTGCAGATGCTCTCCTTGGGCACTGCAGCCCCACTGTAAACCCCAAACCCCACTCAGCTGTGGGGCACGTCCCCCAGGACTCAGGACATTGGGGCTGGTTCCTCACCCAGTCCATAAGGGTTCACTCATCCTCTGTGCTTGGCCACTTAAGGCACCTCCTGGTGTGTGTCCCCAGCCCCTGCCAGGCTGTGGGCAGTGGGCATTTCCAGTCTGAGGAGACCACAACTCCAGCTGGTCTTTGCTGGAGGACCCTCAGCCAAGAGAGGGCCCCACTGTCAGTGCTGTGCTCCCACTTCCCCACTGTGGGAAGTGCTCCCTGAGGCAAGGAGAGGAACCCACAGAACACTCCCCAGCTTTCCAAGGCCCTGTTCCTGCTCTGATTAGTGACTGTACCCCAAACCAAAGCTTTCTGTCCCTCATGGTGTCACACAGAGTGAGCATCACCTGGGGTGCACAGCTCAGCCTTCCTGAGACACATGAAAACAGCACTCAAAGAAAAGCAGGAAAACAAGAAAACAATCAGGAGAAAAAATTATCAGTTCAGACTTTTTTCCCCAAAAAATCCAGCCAGGCACAAGACAGAGCTAATCCTGAATTCCCACTGCATGTGGCACTTGGTGATTTATTTCAGTGGCTTAAATGTCTCAGCACGTTGAAATCTCTCATTTGGAGAAATGTCTGCTTTTCTTCAATATCTTGAGACTAACGAGGTTGATTATCTGATTTGAAAGTGCTTTTTCTTGTCTAAATTTACCCATGTTTTGTGATGAGATGGAAAAAAGTGTTTTTTTAAAAAGAAGAATCCAAACCAAACAACAAATATTTAGTGAGTGAATATTTGAAATGTTCTTTTGTACAAAGTGTGTGTACATGTTTTCTTGCAAGGAGAGGGTGTGTTTGGGAATGCATACATATTGCTGATCCTAAAGCAAATGGGAAGAGTAGGGGCATGTCCAAGCTGATTTAGGCAGAGGGATTTTACTGAATCCCATGGAGTTGTGCCTGTGTGTTTCAGGAATCACTTTTATCCCTCAAGACTTTTTGCATGTCCTGGGAAAGTGAATTTCGGGATGAGCATTTGGAAACTGCAAATATCCTTGAGTTAACCAAGGGCAGAGGTTTTTCCCAAGAAATCATGCAAGCAGGATCTGGTGGTTTAAATTGCCATTGGGATCAGGAAAGGGTGGCCTGATGTGAGGGGCAGCCGATAAGCTTTGGCAGCCAAGGCCTGAAGTCTTAAGGAATTATTGGCAGCTTTGGCAGCTTTAGACAAGTAATGACTGAGCAAAATCTTAAGGGAAGATTCTGATCTCACTGACTGCTATAAATTAGAAATAATCCAAATCACTTTGAAATGTGTTCCTGTAAAATTTGTGGGAACGTGGGCTTGACCAAAAAGCCCAGCTTTGTCTGTTGCCACGTATGACTCACTTCTTTATTTTGTAGCCTGAATTTCCAGGATATAAACAGACCCAGAGAGGTGCTGCCCCTGCCTACACCAATCCTGCCATGCCTTTTGTGCTTTGAGCTGTTAATGGTGCAGAATGTGGGGTTTCCACCACCTCCTGCCAAGCCCTTTTGCTGCCTGAGAGCTCTCGGTGTTATGAAGTGTTTCCTGATGCTCAGCCTCTGTTTCCCTGCACTCAGCATCATCCCCTCACTCGTAGTTAAATACCCTCAGATCAAAACAGTGACATTTAAAGGCAGTGAGGCAAACCAGCACACGAGGTGCTGGAGCAGGTTCAGAGCAGACTTCAAACAGGGCCCATCCTGGGCAGCCTTTCCTGCTCGGTCCTTTCTGCTGCTCCTGCACTCTGAGAGCTGCACATCTCCCGGGTTAGTGGGCTATAGCTGGAGAGATACACACACAGCAGTGTCAGAAAGACATTTCCACAAAGCCCATGATCATGTCCAAGTCCTTGCCAGTCCCAGTTTGGGCAGGGCTGTATTTAGACCACAAAGCTGAGGCAGTGGTACATCCCTGCCTTGCTTCCTCTCTTCTCCTGTGCCATGGCAGGAGCATGTTCACCTCTCTCCTGCCCTCCGTGTGGATCCTGTGAGCCTGTGGAGCCATGGAGACCCGTGTGCCACTGTGCCCAATTCCCTCTGGCTCTGCTGCTGGGCAGGATTTGCTATTTCCATTGGCATGAGCCCCGTGCCCACCACAGCCTCAGGGGCCACTGCACCCTCACTGAGTGCCTTGTGTGGATGATGTGGAGGTGGAAAGCAGGTCTGTGCTTCAGCACACCTCAGAATTGCTCCATTTCATGCCTTTTGAACAGCTCTTGAACCACATCAAAACAAAATGAAGCAGCAATCCTGCCATGCCCTCATGGCAGCTTCCAGCAACCCTTTCCTCCCTTTCAGCCCAGGTTTCTCTCAGAATAGGGATATGATGTGGTTCCCATTCCCTAGGAGGGAATCTATGGAGGTCCCTGAGCCACTGGCAGGATGTTTGGCACAGGACAGAGCCTTGCTGATCAACCTGGATTAGTTTTAACTTGCTATTTAAACAGATTACTTTATGCAGCTATCTGGATATTTCTACCAGAGATTCCCATGGGTTGCCACTATGGCAGGTTTCAAGAGTGTTAAATTTACGTGAAGGGAAAAATATGTGTAATTGAGACATATAATGAGCACTGTCCTTTTAAATGTCTTCCCATTCTTGTTATTTACGGGTCCTTTAAATCAAGAGTTGCTGCCCTTAATTATGTAATCCATAATCGTTGGCCTCAGCCTAATATTATGTTAGTGAATCCAAGAGTGACATGAAAGAAAGCTGCATGAACCAATGTGCTGCTTGGCAAGCAGGGACAGCCTGATGAGAAATCCTCCTGGGAGAAAAATCGTGTCAGGGACTGAAATACAGCCTTCTTTTTTCTTCTTCTTCTTTTCACCCCCCAGCAACAGAAGGTATCAAAACTGAGCCTGTTGAAAAGGACAACATCTCGCTCATGTTCCTTTTCTGATCTCTGTGTAGCCCCGGGTGCTAATCAGCCTGTCAGTCTCTAATTGCAGAACAGCAGCGTCAGGCAGGAGAGAGCCCTGCTCACTGCCTGGGAGCTGGGCAAGGGCACAGAATCCCCTCACTGTGCCCAGCAGTGGCAGCAAAAGGGCCATGTCAGGGTGGGCTTGGGTGCTGGGGAGTGGGTCTGGCGGGCTCCTGAGCATTCCTGAGCATTCCCAAGCCCAGAGAAGTGTCTGCTCAGGGCTGGCTCGTGAGAGGTGGAACAGCTCACAGTGCCCTGCCCGTCCTCGCTGTGTGGGTGCTCCCAACACCCTTCGTTCCATGGCACTGTTCCAACCCTTCTGATCCCTGCCAGTTGCTCCTTGCGGAGGGTGGTGGTCGCTCCAGCACAACTGGGGAGCTGGGGATCCACATCTTTCCAACGCAGCAGCAGCGGAGCTGACCCTGTGCTGTCACAGTCAGGAGTAGCCCTGGGACTGTGTGTGTCACTGCAGGCTCGAGGGAGCATGAAACACTCATCCAACCCAGATCTGGGTGACCTTCTGCTCCCATTACTGCTCACAAAGGAGCTCTGCTGTGACTGCACTGAGAAGAGAGGAGTCAGCTTTCTGTCGGCTGCCCTTTGGATGCAGCAGGATGTGCAGGGAGGATGTGTCAGGATGTGCACTGAAAACCCTTGGTGCAGCTGGGGAGGGCTGAGGGTTTTGTTAGAGGCTTTTGGGACATAACTCAGGTTGGACAAGGCCTCAGGAGGTCAGCCAGTCTCCTCTTGGCCATTCTGCTGCTGTGCTCGGCTGAAGTCAGTAGAAATCTGCCTGTTCAGTGGAACTAAAAGTTCAGCCTCTTCCTTTTTTAGCAGAGTTTCTCTTAATTTACATAAGGATATAGATGATCCAGCCTCTCTAGGAGTTGGAAGAAAATTGAAAAGAAAAAGGAAATTTTTTCCTAGTTCTGTACAGGATTGGAGGGATCTAGGGCTGGGACTGGGAGAGGCATTTGGGAAAGCCTGCCTGGAGTCAGGCCCATGGATGGAGGCATGCTGGGGGAGCCACAGTAGCAGTGGAGCTGAAAAACCAACATGTCCCTTCTTGCTCCCATCCTGCAACTGACCCCTGAGCCCCCAGAAGGGACACCCCCCCTGCAGGGGACAGTTGGTGCTGTTCAGAGGTGTAGAACTGTCAGGAAAAGAACAGCCTTTCAAGGTTCAGTGGTTCTGCTGGGAGGCTCTGGCTGGTGAATTGGCACAGCAGCCGGGGCTGGAGGAGCAGGCAGGGCTCTGGACATGCTGCTCATGGCCAGCCATGTGCTAGTCCCAAAGTATTTGCAATATGTATTTTCCAAATTGCTAACCCAGTGTGGGAAATCAGCTATTTCTAGCCTATAGACTGTATATATAAATTGTTTTCCCAACATAAGAAATGCAATACAAATCCCATCATTTCAGATCTGAATGTTTTTGGGTTATGTAGCTTGCAGGGACTACACAGTTTGGATTCAGCTAGTCAAGTAGAAGTGCTTACAGAGTCCTCTGTGTGTCCTCAGGCTTCAGATGTTACCACAGGAGTAAAAGACAAAACTGGCTTTCTATTTTTAGCAGCCAGCCTCTCCTAAGCTCGCCCCCTCTCCTAAAGCTCCCATCCATAGGCTTGTGGGAATCTTCTTCATAGAAGCTCATATTTAGCCAGGAAAGCCCATAATTTTTGGAGCCAGTGTATTTTCTTCAGAGGCTTCTTGTTCGAGGGCTTGTGCCTACCTGAGCTGTGGCAGCAGCACACGGGTCCCTGGGTTCTGGGCAGGAGGTGTCACCACCCTGCTGAGACACCATGTGATGCACAGCCCATCCCTCCGGGGAGTGACTCTCTGTGTCCCTGGGAAGTTAACCCTCATTAGCCCTTGGGATACCACGGCCAGAGAAGTGAGACTGAGAGGAGGATAAACCCCTGGCTAGTCTGTGCTGTAGGATGGTGATGCAGTGACTTAATGAAGTTGCTGTTGTCACAGGGGCCAGGGACACAGGCGGTTGCTTCCAATCAATGCTGAGAGGTTAATTACACATTTACCTGAGCAGCAGTCTGAAATCCTCACCAAGAAAGAAGGAGTGGGGTTGACTCTTGGCTGCTTTGGCACCTGCAGCTGTGAGCAACACCAGAAGCATGTGTCTATCTAGATCCCCCCCATAGCTGGCTGAACCTTTACAAGCTGTTTGCTGAGATTTTGGGATGGTCTTGTCCCAGAAATCGGTTCCAGTTTGGTGTCGAAGCCAGAACTGCAGTAGTTTAAGAGCCAAAAAGAAAAAAAAAGCTCTTGTTTTACTTGCTCCTGAATCCTGCTCCTTACCTTTCAGCTGGAGTCATCCTACTTCCTTCTGCGGTGTTCCACCGAGATGCCCATAGGGCAGGTGGTGGTGAATTCACCCATTTTTAATAAATAGATTTTAATTAACTTTTTAAAAAAGTCCAGCTCATTCCAATTAGTGGAGGGTGACTGCATTTGTTCTCTCGGAGAGTGGGAGAGAGAGCTCTGTGTTTTCAAGACCATCTGCTCATGAATCCTTAAAAAAAAACCAGAGAGGAAAACAAGCGTTAGCCAGAGGCAGGGAAGGGTGAGGGCACTCCAGCAGCCAGCCAGGGAGGCCTGGCCAGCTGGGAGGGCCCGGGGCTGCCAGAGGAGCTGGGGTGGTCCTGACAGGTTTTTGGAGATGGGGAGCTCTAATGAGCTATGGGAGAAAGGACTGTCATTGCCTGGATGAGTGGGAAGAGAAGCAACACTCCAGAGGGGTGAGTTCTGGCAGCATCATGGGTGGGGAACTGATAGCCCAGTGTTGATGACTTTGAGATTTGAGATGGCTGGCCTGACATTTCAGGACCAAAAAGGCTTTGGGATGCTGTTTTAAAGGGGGGAGGTGCAGGGGATTGGTTACCCTGAATACAAAGTGGCCATGCTGGCAGCAGGAAAGGGCTTTGCTTGCCTGATGCCACCAGCACCTGCAGCGAGATCAGGGTCTGGAGGTACCTGGAGAGGGGAGTGGGTAAAGTGTCTGGAGCAGCTCTTTCCCCACTGCAATGTGAACTTCAGTGACTGTGCTTTGAGTGTCCACACTTACTTCATTTATTCTCCTTCCTTCAAAATTATCCCCTAACCACAGTTTCTGGTCCAAAGTCAGATGGGGTGGCTTTGGGAGCTGCCAGAGGGCCAAAATCTTACCTAACGATTGCCTCTCCCCATCCTGCAAAGACAGACGTGTCCACTGCCCTGGCTGGGAGCAGTGGCTCACTCAGCCTTGTTCTCTCTGCCCTCCAGGGAGACGATATCTTGGACCGCAGCTCGGAGCTGATCTACACGGGGGAAATGTCCTGGATTTACCAGCCTTATGGACGGAACCAGCAGAGAGTTTTCTTTCTCTTTGATCACCAGATGGTTCTCTGCAAGAAGGTAAGGACATGGCTAAGGGCATGCTGCTGACAGGCTTGCCAGTCCAAAGTGGTTTTTAGGGCAAGGTGGCTTTTTGCTGCACATGCAGAAGAGGATGTGGATAGCACTGAGGAGAGGAAATCCACATGCTTGGAATACTGATTTGTGGGGTAGTGAGCATATTGGGATAGAGGGATTTTTATGCTCATAGCAAATCCAGCCTCCACTTTTTCACTTTATGCCTTTTTCTCATATGCCCCTTGTTTGGCTTGCTGCCTCACTTCTTTTAGGTTTTGGCTGCAGCATATGATCTGGGATTAGGTAGCCCTGGAATTCCTGCATGAACCGCAGAGCCTGGCACTTGGGCCGACAGCTCAGTGGCTGCATTGAGATGATGATCAGCAGCTCAGTCTGTGCAGGGTGTCTGTGCTGGCACTTGGGCAGAGGCATTTTAAGTCTCATCCTGATGTCTCTGCTGTGCTGGGTTTTACAGGGCACGTCTCTGCCATGAAACCCATCAAGAAGGTAGGAAGGCAGTGCAGGATGCTGGTGCTGATGTGCTGAAGTGTTAATAGCAGCAGGTGAACTGTGTTTCAGAGCAGCTCTATTCAGCAGCAGCAGCATCACAGCTGTACTGCCGTATCCCACTAAGGTGATCCCAGCTCATTGCCATCCCAGCTGTGCTACGTGAAGGGACAGAGCACATCAGTCCTGTGTGTGACAGCCTGGGATTCAGTGACATTCAGTGCAGCCACACAGAGAACTGTGCAGGGGGAGTCCCCAGGCCTGGCTTCAGTGGGAAGTGCAGACAGGGAGCTGTGCTCCTGTTACAGCCTCAGGGCTCAGGACAGGCTGAGCCAGCCCCACTCCGTGTGCCAGCCCTCCAAGGAGGGCCCTGGCACTGCAGGAAGCAGCGAGGGAGGAGGCGTGGGAGGCTCCTGACTCACCACGGCATCACTGCCCGCTCGCGGCCTGTGCAGTGCAGTGGGTGGCACTTTCTTCTCCTGAGTCATGGTTGACTGAAATTTTGCCTTCTGGAATGCATGTTTTTCCCCTCCTTGTTGCTTTGCCTTTTACTCCTGGCCTGGCTCTGCACAAAAATAACCACAGAGCAACAATAACCGGGTCCGACGGTCAGAGCTGGCACGATGAGTCTGGAGGTGCACAGCTGGTTTCAGTTTTAATCTTGACCTCCCACACTTTGATTGTGACCCGAATTGCCAATTCACAAGGCAGCATCCAGCTTGGCTCGCACTGGGTCTGTTCCAGAGAGGTATCGAGTGTTCCTGTAACTCCGGGAAAACCATGGCTGGGATTTCCGTAGTCATCAGCATGAGTGGAGAGTGTTCAGCAATTCACAGTGGGCTGTGGGGGCCTGGCAGGTTCCAGCAGTATGCAAACAGCACTAGTGGGACACTGTCCTCCTCCTTTCTGCATGCAGAAGGCCCTTTGGGGGACGTGGTGCTGCAGGAGGTGCTGCACAGGGAAACACCCGGCAGATTGGAACGTGGGGCCTGGGCCTTCCTGGCAAAGAGACTGTACCAGGATCTGGCAGCCCTGCTGCCACCAGCCGAGGTCTTTGGGACAGTGAGTGTGCCCTGAGCTTTGGGGTGACAGGGCAGAGGGTGGGAACTCCTATGGTGACCCCGATATCATGGGCATGGGGCTCAGACCTTGCTGTAGGTTCTTCTTCTGCATCCCTTTCCTCCAGCAGCAAACTGCAGTTACTTTTCAGTGTTGGGGCAGGAGGGGAGGTGAGGTTACAGCTGTACTCTCCCATGATAATGCTTTCTTTGAATTCTATTGAGAATGATTGTCCCAGTATGGGTCCAGAGGAATGTTAGCTCACATTTTGGGATCATGAATCCCATATAAATTAAATCTGAATGATTTGTAGCCTATGTTGCCTTCACCCTTGTGTCAGGCTTTGCTGCACAGATCCCAACAGGCAGGATGACCTCTGCTTTAGAGCCAGAGCACCGTGTCTTGGGGCTTTTTTAGTGAGGTACCATTTACCTCATGGTGTGGGAAGTTGGAGCTTTGAAATTATCCTCTGAGGGATATGAAATATGACCCACATCCTCCAGAGCAGCTTTGGTACCACTTATGATGGCACATCTCAGTGAATCTTCCTCTTCAGAAGATTTTCTGCATTTGTGGTTTTTTTCAGATCTAGTAAATCAGTAGGTATGATACATCCTTCATCATAACACAATCTATGTGAGAATACTTTTTTTTAAATCATAGTGGTTGAATTTTATCTCTTTATTGATCAAAAGAGATTTTTAATAGAAATAAGGAACTAAAACTCATTCCTTATTTAAATATGCCACAGATGCTTCAGTTTGATGGAGGCTTGCTAGATATCCTGAGAGGCTCTAGAAGACAAGCACATATTTCAACAAGATCCCCCACTCCTCCAGATCTTCCTTGCAGTTACCTGCACATCATCCTCACCTTCATTACCTGTGGTCTCCTTGGCAGATGTTTGCAGCTGCAACAGCTCTGTGCTCTTGCATCCCCTGGGAATGCACGTGGATCCCATGGTTGCAAAGAGTAATTCATGAGTTCCTGGTGGAACACAGTTCTGTATCCTAAGCTCTGTGACAGTTTTGGATGTTGGTATTCTCTGTCCTTCCCTTTGAACTCCGTTGTCTCCGAACGTGGTTCCACAGTGGGCTCACAGTGCTCAGGCTGGCAGGTTCCTGCTCACGGTTTGTGCAGTGGAAGATGAGGAAATTTTACGTGGCAAACCTGGCTGGAATCAGCATCCCTCCTGTAGGCCAGGGTGAGTGTTGGTGTTTGCTGATATACCAGTAGTCCAGGAAGATGGAATATGAATTCCTGCACTATCTGGAAGAGAGCCAGTGAAAGTCAGTTTTTCTTTTGCTGCAGAAATTTGGGCAGCATTCTGGTCCCAGCCCTCCAGAGTGCTGGCTGTCAGTCCCAGGAGAACCCACTGTGACTCTCGCTGTGTTTGTACTGCTGCTGGTCCCCTGAGTGGCTGTACTGTACTGCTCTGTACTGCTGGACTGCTGCTGCACCCAAGCAGAGTGATAAAAAATTCTCTCTGTAGCCAAGGTAACAACTCATTCTGTGCCCCTTATTTCAGGTAGGTGCTCTGTGCAAAGTGACGTGTCCCCCACCCCCATGGAAGTTTGGGGTTCTTCACGGCAGTTCTGCTGTCAGTGAACAGCAAAGATTGCTCTGGTTCAACCTCTTGGTGTCCTCTCTGTGGCTACATGGACAAGGCACAGTACACATTCTCAAAAACCATCTTGTTTGTACCATTCTCCTGCTGGCTTGGGTTTGGTCCATCAGCTCCAGTGGCAGCTGGCCCGGGAAGGTTTCATCTCCTGTTGTGTGCTACCAGGATTTACCGTGTTTCTTTTTCCCACTGATCCATCCGCTGTTGCCTGTGTCTAAGGGACATGGTCTGTTGGCTGTGGAGGTATTTCTAGTGTCCAGCTACTGCTTTCAGCAGCAGGTAACATATTTCCAAATAACCCCATCTGCTTTGCTCATGCCCTGCTTTCCAGAGACTTTGCCATCCCTTTCTGCTGTTGTCTGAGAATGTTTCAAGGTTATGGGGCCTTTTTTTTTGTTGGACACCTGGCCAAGACATTCCTGTGAGGGAGGATAACTCTCATGTGATTCTGCCTGACATTATCACCTTGTTGTTTCCTGCCTGATACACCTGCAAGCCCATCAGTAGTGCCAGCTCAGCCCTCTGACAGCCAGGAGCTCGCTGATCAGCATTCACTGTGTTTATTGGTTGTTCCCAAATATTTCAAGCAAGGCTTCAGCATCTGCCTGGCCTTTGGAAATCGTGGTTGTCCACAGATCCCTGCAGGTTGGGACCACCCCTTGTATCCCACTGCTCTCTGGTCTCATACAGGTGGGTGGATTGGGCTGAGAGCTGCCGGTGGGAGCAGCTCCTTGAACCTGAACGTCCTTGTTGTCTTCCCACTGGCTGTGTGTCCTAGGAGTTTTCTAAGGGCTTTTGCAGTGTGAGTTGATCCAAGGGTTTGTCCTTTCAAAGCAGTTGGTGATGGTTTGTTTGGGCGTGAGGATCCAGGTATTGGTGTGGTCACTGACATGACTGTGTTGAACTCTCCATGTCAATGTGACTGTCATAAACTGGTCATTAATATAGTTCAGCTGTCAGGAGAAGAGTAGTGGCACTGGTGGGATCCAGTGACCAAGCTCAGCCCCTTCTCTGGCTGCCTAAGATCCACTGCCTCAGGCAGAATTCCCAAACACTTTTCCATGAGCACCATGAGCACAGGTCTTCAGAGACCTGGGTTGTGAAGATGTGTAATTACCAAGGGCTGCATTCAACTGTGCTGGTTATTTCCACCAGTGGGGGTATCTTTAGGTCTTTCTTCCAAGCAGGAAACCTGCACTAAGATTTCCAAGGGCTGCATGCAGCATGCACTGTGGCAGGCAGCTCTCACTGCTGGCAAACATCTTGCAAAGCAACTTGTGTGGGATAATTTTAACAAAAGCTGTTTCTGAGCTTTACAGATAAATCTCTTTGGTTTAGATTTGGCCATCAGAGACAGCACTGGTCACTTCCTAACATCACCTCTGGATTATTTCCTGGTGCCAGGAAGTGAGGAGTTTAATTAGATGAAATGGCCATGTCGACTATTTCAGGCTTCAATAAACTGAATGCTGAAATACCAGTTTGTAGGCCACAGTTCCTGATCCAGAGCCTCTGGGAGAGCTCAGGAATCAGGTTTTCTTTGCAAAGCCGGGTAACTTTCAGCTGTTGGATTAATGTCAAAGTCTCCCAATGAATTTTCTGTCCGTGTCTCCTGAACCAGAGAGTGGGACATTGCCATGTGCCTGAGGACAAAGTGGTGGCTTCTCCAAAGAGACTGTTGATTGGATGCCCTAATGCAGAGTTGCCTTTTGGGAAGGGAGAAGGGAATACAGTGGGCAGGAAGCAAGCACTGGCCTCACTGTGCCTTGCCCTATGTGTATAATAGGGGAGGAATGCATATTCCAGCATGCTG